CATCCTACGTAATAACCGACCGTGGGCGCCATTTCGAGTGTGGATTATTTCACACCTTATCTGCACTTTTAGGTTGCACTCGGTTCCGAACGGCAGCCTACCAACCACAGGCAAAAGGCGTGGTAGAACGTTTTCATCGCCGGCCAAAAGTTTCGCTTTCATTTGCAAATATACCCCAGTGGGCCGGGGCTTTGCCTGTGGTCCAACTGGGTATTCGTAACGCGTTGAAAGCTGATGCTGGATGCATCTCTGCAGAACTCGTTTACTGGGCTACTTTTCACCTACCACATGGGTTGTTTCTTTTTCAACTTACACACATTTTCGACAGAACGTCTTACGTGACTAGGCTTACAAACGCAATGGGCTCAGGTAGGCCCTCTTCTGTCCGACCCCAAACAACTGATCTCCTCGTTCACCCCGTTTTACAAAGGACATCTAACATGTTCATTCGCCACGATGCAGTTTGTCGACCACTTGAGCCATCCTACGATAGACCATTCAAAGTGGTCAAGTGACAAGAGAAATCTTATACAATTGAGCGAAGCAGACGTGAAGATACTGTTAGCACCGATCATTTGAAACCATCTTATTCCGAAGGTGGCCCTATCATAAGCGAAGTTTCAGCTCACTATAGTCTACCGGAGGAAAGCTAATTATCGAAATTCTTGACGATGTGCCTGGTAGTACACAGACACAACAACCACAGACAACAAAAACCGTGATCAGGTAGAACCGTCAAGTTCCTGGAATATCTAAACACATTCAAGTATGTAGTGTGAGTTAAAATGTGCCAACCGTCTTTAAATTTTTTTCGAGGTACCATGTTTTTTATTTGACTGGAATGCGAAAATCCTAAATTTTACCTTTTCATATCAGTTTTTTTACTACGCCGTAATCATACCTTTTCAAAAAACGAAATGGAGGAAGGCATAAAATTTATTTACGACAAATTTATAAATGCTTCCCATTTCTTAAAAGCGTTTTCGTGGTATTAAAGACTCTCATTTTTGCTCCAGGTGGAACGAGTACTGAACTGAACGTCTAAAGGACACAGATCGCGATCGACGTACAGTTCGATCTACTGTGTTTTATTTTTCATTCCCCATGACACCCTAGAATGAGTTCAGACAACCAGGGGCCACTTCTCGCAGTGAGCCCACCGAGGGTTTTAACAGTGGAGAAACCACTGGGTTTCTACCTCCGGTTGGTATTGTCCTGGGGTTATCATGAACGCACCAGGGAGGAGTGATTCGTAGCGTCGCATACTCCTCCAGAATCAGTAGCCTAGGGTTCGGCGAGATTTAACATTGGTGCTCACCTTCATTGTTTTATCGGACTCCCCAGGCTGTAAGCATCCAGGCCGTTTGGCAACGCTGACGTGTCATGTTGCACTGCTTATAATCGACACTCTAGACAGTTAGTGGGAACGCATCTATGTCTTGGCACGACCTTCTGACTATAAAGATAATAATGAGTTATTCCTGAATTCACAGGTGCATATTATTTTTACAGATACGGTTATAACAATTAGTGGTGGAAAATCTCCGGCAGTATGTTCTTTTACAAAAAATTTTTTATCATCTTTTCATTCCAGTTAGTGGAAATCCCCGGTCGGAAGAAAAAAGAAAACTTCACACCACATATAAATGGTGCAGTTTACTCTAAATTTAGAACTTTTGTTACGCTTTTAGGTTATCCGGCAGAAATGACAGTCATGTCTAATGAATACGTAAAATCATCACTCAAAAAGAAGAGGAAGTAACCCGGCAATTTCTTGCTCGAAAAAAGAGTAATACCGGCCTAATTACTCAAGTGCCTAATTTGAAGGATCATACATATTGAGTGAAGTACCACGGCAGATTCAATGTGTTTTTCAAAGAACATGCATCTCCGGGTTCATTGGAACGTCAAGATATACTGTATAGACAATAATAAATAACACTGATAATAATATACCACCTTACCGATGAAACGATCTATTTTTATTTGTTCATGCTGAATTGGACATCTATCCACAGTAGCCGCGATGATGCTCTGCATTGTGCTTAATAGCTCGGTGAATATTGTCCAAATTCCTTTGAGTTTCGACGTCGGGTCAAAGAATCCGTTTCTGTAGATAAAGTTATTTGTACGTTATTGTGTTCTTTCTTGATCTCGTATTCATGAGTATATAGCGAGTACGAATAGTTAGTGATTGTCCTCTACACCTATCGAGTTCACACCGGGACAATTCCTAAAATCTCTTTCTATGCAAATGTATCCAGTGCACTGAGAAAGCTGTCATACGTAGCAGGCATTGTACCCTTTTTCCATTGATTTTCTAACAAGTTGAAATCCCCACACAGTAAAGTCCTCGTATGTGGGAGAAGATACATATTCTAGAGCATAATACAGCATGGCGACCCCAGCATGGTTCTCTGGAATGTGCATCTCCTCTCCCTTATGAGCACAAATTATATATACTCAGATTGTTGTCATTAGTAAAATCGTACACACAGTAATTGTTTCGCCCAAAAATGTTGTACGTAAAGCTAATCTGTAGATATATTAGATGTGAAGATTTGACTGCGGGTATCCAACAGGCGAAATTGAAGAAGCGCCTTACAACTTGGAAACCAATCAGAATGTTGTCTTGTGACCATTGTAAGGTCATTCCCCGCCATCGTAGTAGGCCATGTTGGACGATTGGTTTCGTGCTAACGAGTTTTTCGTTGATTTATTAAAGTTGCAGACGTAGTTGCCGTTCCTATGTTATGAATTTTACTCGGTTATGCCCGGTTTATGATACCGCCTTCGTTGGTTGTCCGTTTCGTTAACTGTTTTTATTGTTTACCATGTTTGGGGACACAGGCCAGTTATAAAAGTTCTTTGCATATTTTTTTTTGCTGAGTTCTGTCCCTTCATGTTATGTTAATGGGTTAATGGAAATGTATCCGTGTTATGTTCTTGTTATGTTAGAAGTTGGTTAATCTTTAAAGAAGCCGTAATGCTGCCTGTGGTGCCCCTGATCCAGCCTTTATCTGATTGTTTAGGAAGTTTGTGCAAATGTTAACACGTTCCGTTGCTGTCTATTAACACTTCAGCTGGAAGTCTGCTAAGAAGAACGCTTTACCTATTCGTTTTCATAGCTTCATGGATTCTCATCAAGCTTCTACGAGCAGTGCTAGCCTGGCTGGTGCAACATGTGTTGATGTTTCTGCGGTGTTTGAGCAGATTATACGACCTAGACATTTTACTGTCTGGAGTCAAATCGAAGAAGCGATTATTACGTTTCAGAAAGTATGCTAGGAAGTCACTTAACTCGATGTTTAGATGACGAATACTGACTACGTTGTGAGGGAATGCAATCGGTATAAAGGAGGTGCTGAAGTGAAGTACCAATATGTTTTGTTGGCATGTACTTTTGGTAACCGGAAAAAATCGGAGGGCACTAAACAGCAAGTTAAGGGGTAATCTAGGAATTTTTTAAGAGTAGCGTTTCAGATCGAAGTACATTGGTTGTAAATCTAGAATTAGAATACGTTACGATTTGAATCACTTTATTTTTCCAAGTTTCAAGATGGTGCACAACCATCCATGTGATGTGAATTATCTTGCGATAGACCCTTGGTCCAGACGATTATCCGAGGAGGAAATGAAGGTTGTTCGACCCTTACTGACAGTGGGGTCTGAACCGGACCGTGTTGTGAAGTATGTCAAAGACGTTATGTCGAAGGACATAACTTATGACTATGTGAAGAATATCTGGAGGAAAATAACACCAAGTGACATATTCCCTTAATAATTTTTATTCTGCAGGTTATGAATCTCAGGCAGTAGTATTCGATAAACTAAGAAGTAGTGGTCGGCTGATAACCTGGAGTGATGGCGAGCATCACCAGGTGGGTTGACTTTGCTTCAGCAGCACAGATCAAATAGCCACCTACCTCCAATTTCCGGAAGTGGTATGCTTCGATTCAGCGTATAATACGAACAAGGGCAAGTAAGTCTATCGTGATAGCATTCACATGAAGTATAGCTATAAATTGTTTCAGTTTGTTGTCACTGACAACTTTGGTAACAGTCGCCCACTTATGTTTGGATGGACTAAACGAGAACAAAGGACAGATGTAACTTGGATGTTGGATGCCTTTAGGCGTATAATGGGTGAAACTTCGTCAACACGAACATTTGTTATTGATTGTGCTAGGGTATTGAAGGCAGCTGTCGAGACTGTCTTTCCCAGAGTTGATGTTGTCCTTTGTGCATTCCACGTTTGCAGAGCGATGTGCAAAAAGGTAAGCATTTCAAATAAGTGTTTATATGCACCTAACTTAAAGACAAGAAATCCAATACTCAAACAATATCTGTGCAGATTAGTTCGAGAGGAATCAACCATCAGGTAAGATGCAAACAGTACACTGTCGTCCAACGCAGGTTTTATGCATATAACCGCATCATCAACGCTATCAGTCTGGATATGGGGAGGTATTTAAGTCGCATGTGGATAAATTGTAAGCGACTTTGGTCCTCAGCATTCTACAATGATGTCCTGACATTGGGTAATAATTAATAATCTAGTTGAAAGCCTCCATAAGCAGATAAAAAGGAGGCTAAGAAATTGTGACAAGCTGCATATATCGATGTGGAAGACGTATCAGTGGGATACCAGAAGAAGCGAAAGGAAGAAATTGGAAATGAAGCGCAGACTTAACAGGTGAATGTCTCAGTTCAGGAGTGAATATAGTTACGTACAGGCCACAAACCTAATGAAGCGCTGCATCAGTTTAGCAGATGAGGGCGTGAACACAGCCGACAGACAACAGCACAACGATGAACCGTAGGCTATTCGCCTATTCCAATCCTTGAAATCTGCCTACTTTTTAGTCGTGACGTTTACGCCATCCGCCGTTCTAAGTATGGACGAGAGCCCTTACAGACAGGTAAGTCCAAATCACATCCACCTTACACTTAGATGGCAAACTGAATTGTACACGTAAACTTCACTGTACAAACACTGGATGATAAAAAGTAAAGTGATGTAAGTCTGTTTTCATTTTTGAAATTGGATTTCATGAATACTTTTCATGCCCCATCTAACATGTTCACTTATTGTCTTCTCCTACGGGTAAACGACTTTGAATTGCCTACTGGATTGCCGTTTATGTGTCTGTTAGCACGGAAATTTTTTATCATGCAAGCTGCATTTCTTAATAGTTGCTTTTGGAGTAGACTCTTGGGTTACTATAGGCACATGTACATTGTTTCCGAAAGCCATGGTATCGGTGCGTAGGCAAGTTGTCATTCATGCGCGAAAAAATGGAAAACTTCCAATCACTCCATAGCTTCAGACTGTTGAATTATTATCGGTAATCCCGGAATCCGTAAAGGAGAAGTCTACGAGTTCACACGTTTTAAACATTTTCGGTTACATCCAGACTATCATAACGAGTAATTCATTCACACTCATCTGCACAGGAGCGCACTTAACGAAGGAGTTCAACAATATTTACTTCCCATAGTTCCAGCATTATTCATAATTATTAACGGAAGAAAACGCATTTTACTTCGTGTGAAAATATGTATTCAGGTACAAAGTATTCAACACATTTAGAGTGTCGCCCGAGTAAGTGTTCATCAGTGACTCCTCCAACATTCTCCTTTCTCAATGTTGTCGTAGTAGGACGGTCATCCTGCAATGTAGAACGAAGGGAACATTTATAATTTCTGCGGTATATGCTTACATGTAGTCACTGAGAAAAACGATAAGCAAGGACCACATATGCACAAAGTTCTTTAGAAAAAGTTTGACTAACCAATGATCTCTCCGTATTTCGAAAACATACACTTGACATCTCAGGTGCAACCAATGCACCTTACTACACAGATCCAGTGTATCAGTTAGCATTTCGAAAAATACATCATGACAGCGAAGTAAACTGTTTCTGAAATTGCCCCTATAAATTATACAACTAGTCATGTCACTTAGAATACACAAAGGGGAGTGTTATACAACTTCAGGTGCTGATCTATGCCTACATTGTTATCCCGTGTGATTGCAGAGGATAACAGCTAGAAATAGTAGGGGAACACGAAAAGAACTCCGAGGCACGCCGTTTAGCATCGGGAACCAGTTAGATATAGAGCATCCAACTCTAACTGACTGCTGCCTGGTGTAAGGATTATCTCTACGCCAACTTGTTCACTTCCGGCGTACATACATAAGCTGATGTCCCTTATACGGAATATCCTGATTCAACCTGTCAAAAACCTTTAAAAACTCAAGCAAACAAATATGAATGGACTTCCTCAGCTCGATAGAAGTTGTTTCAGAAATCCTCGGCTAGAAAGTTTGCTGCTTCTGAGTAGGTGTGGAGAATCTGCAACCCTGTATACTAAGTGAACTATTAGTCTTCCATTCAATCAGTAAACATAAGAAAACCACTAACGTCGTATAAGGTTATGGGTGCATACACGACCCAAGAAGAGAAAACTTATCCGTTCTTCGTGTATTCACTGGACCAGCAAGTTTTAGTCGTCTTGGGTTATCAGGCACGCCCAACATAACACGATATAAACGGTTCTTTTGGACTCAGTGTGAGAATTCAAAACGTTCACGGTTTCCCTTTCCTTCCTTCTGTGTGGACATTCAGGAAATATAACTGTAGCCATCGTCTTTAAAAACTACAAGTGATAGTTTTTGTGTGATTTTACCCACAAATCACATAAATCTCTTTCCAAATTCCTTGTCATGACGCGGTTCTGCGGACTCATGATCATCACAAACTCTCTGCATTATCATAAAAATACTTCGAAAGCTGACTTACTTACTCTCATACGTCAACTACTTCAGGTATCTTTATCCCAAATGCTCAATGTCCGGATTATTTCCTAGCTACTCCTGCTATTAGGTAAATGAGAGGCTAACAGAAGATCCACTGCATTTCTTTGCAATGCTTTATTGAGTAGCATACACACAATAATTCAATCAGGGAGCACAAATGCTCGGACACTTGCAAAATCTCATTCCCATTTGACTGAAAATACATACAGTGGATTATTACAGACTGCCCACCATAAGTCTGCATGATCAGTAATAACATAAAAAGGTAAATATGAGATACATATGTATAGATTAGTACACTTAACACGGGTGATAACCTAACATCTTCCTTCAACCTTCCAAATACATTTTTACTGCGTGAAAAGCAAGTTATGCTTTAACAACGAAAAATTTTACAGAATGGACCTTATTCATGCTAAATTCACATTATGAATAGTTAACTTACCTAAACAGAGTGACTACACCACAAAACCTATAAGAAGTCAGCTTACAGACAGTAGGCTGATACTGACATGCCCAATGTAACGCAGTTAGATAGCTTGACATGCATAGCAAATCTAGCCACTAAGTGAAGAAAACCACAACAAACGAAGACGTTGAGTGAAATTACTCCAAATCAATCTCGTTTTATAGAAAATTTAAACGAAATAATGACCAGCAGTACCAGTTACGCAACATTAGGTTTACATGACTACATGCTGTTTACCGGCGCTCTAAAGATTTGCATACTATATCACGTGTGGCTTGGAATAAAGCATTGTCGCTAATAATGCTATGTTATCTAGTTCTTCATGCTAAACAGGAGGCAGCCTTCTTAAATTCAATGAGGAGTTTTCTAAATTCCTGAAATCGTCTCGAAATTAATAAGGTTTGCAGCCAGATTGGATGCCAGGTATTCTGTTTACGAAATGCGTTGATATTGAGATTTTAGGAATTGTCCCGGTGTGAACTCGATAGGTGTAGAGGACAATCACTAACTATTCGTACTCGCTATATACTCATGAATACGAGATCAAGAAAGAACACAATAACGTACAAATAACTTTATCTACAGAAACGGATTCTTTGACCCGACGTCGAAACTCAAAGGAATTTGGACAATATTCACCGAGCTATTAAGCACAATGCAGAGCATCATCGCGGCTACTGTGGATAGATGTCCAATTCAGCATGAACAAATAAAAATAGATCGTTTCATCGGTAAGGTGGTATATTATTATCAGTGTTATTTATTATTGTCTATACAGTATATCTTGACGTTCCAATGAACCCGGAGATGCATGTTCTTTGAAAAACACATTGAATCTGCCGTGGTACTTCACTCAATATGTATGATCCTTCAAATTAGGCACTTGAGTAATTAGGCCGGTATTACTCTTTTTTCGAGCAAGAAATTGCCGGGTTACTTCCTCTTCTTTTTGAGTGATGATTTTACGTATTCATTAGACATGACTGTCATTTCTGCCGGATAACCTAAAAGCGTAACAAAAGTTCTAAATTTAGAGTAAACTGCACCATTTATATGTGGTGTGAAGTTTTCTTTTTTCTTCCGACCGGGGATTTCCACTAACTGGAATGAAAAGATGATAAAAAATTTTTTGTAAAA